GACCCACCTCCAACGGCAAAGCCAGGAGAGGAGCACGGAAGGCCCCCAACACACACACACACACACACACACACACACACACACACACACACACACACACACACATCTGAATGACCACAACGTTATGCTCAGATGGCTCTCTTACGCTTCTCTTATATAATGCACGTTGTGAACTAACTAGTTTGTTTTGCTAAACTGTGCAGGGCTGCAACTAATGATTATCTCCATTATTGCCTAATGGACATTACACTATAAAGTGTTGGAGAATGGTGAAAATGCCCATCACAATTTTCTAAAGCCCAAGGTGATATCATTACAGTTAATTGCCTTTTTCCCAAACAACAGTCCCAAACCTACACATATTCTTTACACCATAAAGGATGAAGAAGCAAGTCCTCCCAATTAAGAAAGATGGAACTAAGGGATGTCTTTTATGAATGTTTTAGTGCTGTCTAATAATCCCTTTAAATATTTCAGATCCAGCACTCTGCATTTTCATATTAGTCAGTTTTTGTTTTCAAATAAATGTAGCCATAAATGCTTATAGCTTTGTTTTTAGAAGGACTCGGATTAATTATAATGAGTCACAGTTACTGTAGCCACGCTGGCCAAACTTTCCTCTCATCTCTTTAATTCATTCGGCCTGTAATTGAGCGTTTAACTTGATTTTGTTGAGACAAATACGTTCGCGGCTGAACCTTGTTTGTGCTGCAGAATATTCTGGAACAAACGGGCTGCGATGGACTAGAAATGTATTTTTTGAATTTTCTTTAGGGCTCAAGTGCAGACTTGGTAAGATGGAGAAATTTTCAGAGCTGTCAATACATCATCTCTGATGCACTGATGGTGCATTTTCATGATTGCATATATGGGAGAAATATAATAAATATTTGAACTGAATCCACTTTTATCCAAGTGAACATTTGTGTTTTCTTCTTTAGAAAAGTTTGAAAACGATCAAGTTTAAGGTTGAATCTTGACATTTAGAATAATTTATAAGCAGATTCAATCCTGAAATACTGATAGCCGCGTAAGCCTTGAAATCTATGTGGAGCAAACTCTCCATATATTGAGCCAGACTCAACAAGGCATCACTTAATAAAACAATACTTTCTCCTTCCCTTTTTCTGTTCTTGCAGGTATTGTACATGCCCGGTGATTTGGGTATTAAATTTGATGCCTGCAGTTAAATCTCTTGCTGTGAAATGCAAGAAATAAAAACTCAGAGTTGTAGATAATGCAAAGTACAGTAAAGCACGTTGCATGCTCCTACCCCCTCCCTCGGAGCCACACGCATACACTTGCATACCCCCGCCAACACATACTTTAATCACACAATTAATAATTAATCAGAGGTTGGGCTCAATGCTGTCAAGCCTGCAGATGAGAGAACACCCAACTGCTGAGACAAGCCCTTAAAAAAGGGGATTAATAACCAAAAAAAGGAAAGAATGAACAGCTAGACAACACGTCGCTAGTTAGGCTCAGTTTTTCTTAAAGTTGAAGGAAAATACAGACGGTCCACTGGCGCGAATAGGCAGCTTTGAATGCATTTTTTGTAAAGAAATAAATAACAAAAGCTCGCTGGCTATAGAGTTCTGCAGAGTTTGTGAGGGGGAAAATTAAGTTGTCGCTTTTATGTGACATTTTCTACATGCAAATATGCAAAATTTGATTATGTGCTCTGTCTCCTGCGTATAAACACCATCAATAAAACTATAACAAACCGGTTCTAGAAGAATAGGTCAGGGATGAGTATGTATTATTTGCGCACCGCATTACAGCCGGTGCACTGATTGATTTCAATGCATTGCATCACTCTGGAATTGATCATACACCCGTGATCATTGTGTTCAATTTATTTATTCCCACTGATGCAAGTATTTTCCAACACTTAAAAGTCATCTTTTTTTTATCTCTGTCAGTCTCGCAGTGCTCTGTTTCCAGTGTTGCAGCAGAGAGCAGAGTGTTTACCCAGCTGTAATTACAACATGCACAATGACCTCATTCTGCTGTGTCAGTAGCGGTAATGTATAGCCCTTGATGTTAAACTGCAAAGAAAAATGGTGTGCACTTATTTTCAATATGCTGACTACATTCCCAGCATTTTTTTTTAGACATGGCCGTGAAGGCAGATCAGAATTTGATATAAGCACTGGTGCTCCTATTTATCTGACAAGGTCTCTCTGCCTTAATATGCATTCAATAATGTGAAATGATATTAGCTGTAGGAGCTCATTGACTGTGCACTCAGGGTCTCTCGGTGTCTCTCCGTCTCTGTCTGTAGCACGCTCTTTATCTGTTTCTCTTCCTCGTGCACACACACAGAGAAGAAATGGGGGGAAAAAAAGAGAGGAGGCTTGAACCGCGGATAGCAACAGCAGCAGAGCAATCACACCGAAGCAATGCCCCCCACGCCTGGCCCATTAATAACAGTAATACGCACACCGCGCCCAAGCCAGCACTGCCGAAAGCACCACTGACACTTTAATGGGCATTTTTTACTTTTGTTTTTAAATAATGCATGTGCTGCTTGTCAGCACTGCTTCACTCCACCCCTGGTGTGCCTTTGCAGCGTTCCATTGTGCAGAAATTACAATGGAGACCTGTGTTTTCTGTGCCGCCTGCTCCGTAAGCTGCATTCATCACGTTCATAGGGACATCAGAGTGCGGTACATCACACTCTCGGGGCCGTGTGTGTGGGCACGCATGCCACGCATGTGTGCGTTTTTGTTTGTGAAGGCACCTCATTGGCACCGAGCTAATTAAGAGCGTCTTTGAGAGGGCGAACTGTGATGCTCGGTGGCACCGAACATGACTTATAAAGAAGGATGATGCTCTCCGTGATACAGGAAACCTGACAGTCCGCTAGCGGTTTGGTGTGTCTGCCGAGCATGCCACTGTTGTTATGCAACTACGAAAACCTCATATAGACCCCAAAAGTATTCGGGATCCTCTGGGCTCACTTGCAGTTAACTTATTCAACAGTAAGAGATTCATCAATAAGAGAAGGTTTAATTTTCATTCGTCCGGGGACCGGTGCGGAGCGGCAATCGGTGATACATACCATAGCGTTTATGGCATAAGTTAATTTGCTTTGGCCATCCTTGGATGGGCAATAAAACGAGAACAATAAAACGAACACAAATCAGCAAAACACAACAAACTCAAAATTATACACATACATCATGGCACAACACACAAAGTTCAATACGAAAATATATATTTTTAAAAACGCCTGAGACGATACACAACAGCACGAGGGGCGATTCACAGAGAAAGAAGATGATGGTATTCAGCTCCTGCTCGTTCGTGACTGCATGAAAAAGTGTGGTAAAAAGTTTCGCTTTGAGTTTAAAGCTAATCGCACATTAAACGTCTCCGTGTCCAAGTGTGGGTTGACACTGTTCAGTGGAAAAGGAATGACATGAGTTTAGCCATCCAATAGATTAATTAACATTTAAACCTGCAGTTTATTGCTGTTTATTAGTATTTATGCATTTTGTAATATCACCCAATCATATACTCGGGTGGGAGAGAAACAGCTATAACATGCTAACAATGATTCAGATGAGAGCATCAGTGGATATCAGTGAGTACATACTAATGATATTCTGTATATACAGTATTTATACTGTACTCCCAGGACAGGTAGGCATATCTAGCATGTATCTTTCTATATTGTCAGCAATGGATGCACTGCCATTCTATTATGCAATAATGCTCATTGAAATCCAGTTTCTGTATTCTCAGCCAGAGCGGCGCTTTGGTGGACTGTGTGTGTTGTGTTTGTGTCCTGTTTGCTTTTTTTTTTTGTGCACCTGCTGCAAACTGAGAATATTGAGGGTTTGTATTGTAATCATACATAAGCCCCCCACCTCTAAATTGGATCCGGAGCTGACCAAAGATGTATTTGCACATGGTAAAACTTAATAGGAACAAGTAGGCACGGGGACCAACAAATTAATCGTTGTTTAACTTTGAGTCTCGAACGGTGCAGATTTGAATATCGGGTGCTGCAGAAGCTGCTCGTTTATTTCGGATCACGGACAGTAAAGGTGACGGACGTCCTCGGCGAGAGCTGCAGAGGTTGCGTCGGAAGACTTGCGAGACAGGACGTGACTTCGGGACTAGCACCCTCGAAAATCAATTTTTCAGCAGTCCCCTGGTTTTTGAATTAAACACCAAAAACATGCAAATTTTATGCCAGCGTTGCACTTAGTAAGTTAGGGTATGGCTGTGTCACTTTCTGGGAGTAATTTGCACCGGCCTGAACACAGATTACCAAGGCCCAAAATTAACCCAAACGTTATGGGTAAAACGCACATTTCTCATCAAACTGAAAGCTTCGGTGTTTTATTTGTGCGCGTTATTCTCGAGATCCCAAAAAACAGAACTGTAGATTTGTCATACATTGAAACTTTGCCAGAATGATGTGCCTCGGTGAAGTGCATTTATCACAGATCACTTATTGTGACATTTTAATAGTAGTCCCTGAAGTGCTACATCTCACGGGAGAACCGAGTCAAGACTATAATCGCAAAGGTTTAGGAGCAATAACTGTTTTATTTTGGGTTCATACTTTTGAGCTGATTCCATAACAGACACGGGGTAGTTAAGTGGTTATAGAGGATATCCTTTAAATGTGATGATGGTCAGTTCACGGTTATTTTCTGGCGTATTAAATGTTCCCCACTGTTTTCCTGTTGATACTAAACCTCATTTGGTTATTTATATTATGCTGGTAGATCAACTTGACCCAATTGTGTAACTTTATTGATCGTAGCCAAGCCACCTATCTGTATTCCTTACTGCACGTAAGGTCAATAAACCTCAAAATCAATATTTATAACAATCAATGTTGCATTCTCTATGATGCCTCTTCCTGTGCAATGATTTCCTGCGATTGAATTGCTTTATTTGTGTTTTTTGGAGGCGCCCCTCTGCTGCTTCTTGTCCGTTTCGGTGACGCCTGCTCGTGTTTCTGTGTGTCCCTGCAGGAAACACGTTGTGTAAGTCAGGAAGCATTGCTGTCTTCGGGAACGTGGTGTACAGCGGACTGCTGAACGATCACCTCTGGCATTTGGGAGTGCCCCTCTTTACAAGACTGGTAAGAGCAGCAGGCCCCTCTGTGCACACTTACCTTCACTTTTGTTGGAAGAATTTCACGCGCTTGTGTGGAATCTAACAGGTGTGGAATTCCCCGAAGCTTGTAATGTTGTTTTTGATGCCCGCTCTGTTGACATGTGTTAGTTAAGGTTAAGACCTGGATGTGACTCCTCTGCTGTGGATGTAGGAGACGAGGAAAACCCACCACACACACACACACACACACACATGCATTTCATATTAGACTTTTTAAAAGGCATAACTAAGATGTTTTCTCTGGCCTTAAAGTGCAGGTGAGCCCACCTATGGATTCAGTTCTTCCCCAGCTGGCTGGCTGGGTGTGTAGCTAGTAGTGCTGAAAAAAGGCTGGCTAAATAATTCATGAAATTTAGTTTTACGGCAAGAATTTTATAAAAATTACAAGGTTTTAATTAAGAACCGGAGCGGCTGAAGCTTGCATTAAGAATTCATGATAAATGTCTATCCCTAATTGTCAAAGGGAAAGCGAATGTTTGTTTTACACTTAATCTCGCTGATGGTGGAATGTGAGCTTAGGAGATTCTTGTGAACGGCATAAAGACGAAGGATCACAGAGCGATATTGCAAAAGATGAAATCCAACGAAGCCCTTTCCCTTCTTGTTAATTACCCTCTTTCTAAGCAGGTCGCAAGTTTTCATCAATGTTTATTATTGATTAAATCTGTCGTTGTTGCTGTCATTTATGAGTCAGGAATTAGCGTTGATTGGTGCACAAGGGTTGCATATAATTGGGTTACATTAAATAGATAATTCAGCTGATCTCATAAATGTCTAATGTGAAGCCTTGTTTGATTATCAATTAATGTCAAACGGAGATGCAAGAGGCTGTTAGGAATCCTGTTGGGTTTGCTTGTGTTGCATGTGGCAAAGCTACTCTCATTGCAGCTGTAAGAAGAGCCAGGAGTTTTTACAGTGAAATGTATATTTAATATTGTACGCGCTGGCGAATTCAAAGTGACGCTGGAGCACGCGTGCACAGCGAACGCTGGTAAACAAGTCTTTAAAAGATGTAACAAAAAGAAGGACATCAAACGCCACAGGTAACAGAGCTTTGGCTTCTAATTAAACAGAAATTGTTTTTTGAGGAAAATGTGCCTGTTGTTCTTAGCTATAAAGAGTAGAAGGAGGGAAATGATTAAAATATTTCATGGCTCAAAAGTCACTTCATGGTGCCTTTTTCAAAGCCGAGAGTTTAATGGAGTAGGATGCTTAATTACTAGCATATTTACATTTTCTCCGACAAATCCTCCCACGAAGAGAAAGCTGATGGAAAATAACCACTGTGTGACTCTGAGAAGAGTTTACCCCATGACATCGTGAATATATGGTAAAATACATAAAAGATGGAGACAGCCGCCATAGCGTCCAGGTTGGTTTGGTGTATTTCGAGGCTCGGGGGCAAGCCGCTCAATGACGAGCACCCATGCAGACTATCCAAGTGTTTCAGTTTTTGTTGGTATTTGCAAGACAGATGTGATGTAAAGGAATTACTGTGTTGCATTATGTAAATGTTAACCCAACATACAGCTGCTTCTAAACCAGCCTCCATATTAATATCTATGATGTTTACTGTGGACTGCCTGAACAAGCTGAAACACGTGCTTCAATAATCCACAATACATTTAGTCATGCAGAATCACGTGAAAACAAACAATAACAGGTGCAAGTATGTAACACGAATGAGGTGATGTGCACAAATGTTTAAAGTAAACATTTAATAATATATTATAATATAATATGTACGTATAACAGACATAATGTGGCATTCGTGCAGCTTTTTGATGTCACAATGCAAACAGGCCTGGAGGATTAACACAAACAGACCACACAAGCTCGCAGTGTGAGGACACCTAATCCCCGCTGTCGTTAGGTTAACATCCTCCGTGTCGCTCCTTTGCACGGCGAGCAGCGGCCGAGCTCTGAGCCCGCAGGAGCACTCGTTGAAGTAAAAGGTTCGACTCCCGGCTGCGCCACCAAGGCGCGGCCTTGTGTAGCGCTCAGTGTGCCCGCTGCCGACACACTAGGTCCGCCCAGCAGTGGTATCAGCATGACACGCGGCAAGCCTTCACATCCCCAACACACAGCTCCTAATTACTGCACAGCCCTGCCAGTTTGTACCCCTAGGCCAGTACTGACTGCTCAATGCCAAGATGTAAACACTGCATTATTAACACGACATACAGTCTGTGCACACGGCTAGGTTTAATGTACTCGACGTATGTCTACATGGAGGCATTACTTTAGTGGGATTCTTTATGCGAAAGCATACAATGAATTTATTGTCTTCCAGACAGCGAGTTCCAAAATCACCAGATGGGCGATTTGCTGCGTATAGGGTAATGTATGCTTACAAATGATGTTTAATGATATCTTCCAGGGATAGGAAGCAAAACATTACCATTTTCAAGGCTAAATATGCAGGCTGTGTCAGAAAGCTGGAGATACAGAATTAAGTAACACACTGTCTTTTTTTCTTGTTATTTTATGCATATTTATTGGCTGCCAGAGCGTCTTGATGGCATTACACAATATCTCGTTTTTTTCTTTATGGCAAATCACAGTCCAAACATAAGCTTTGCCTACTTATCACCAATTCTAATATATTTTCATATGAAAAATCTCTCATGTGAGTATTATTAGCAGAGTGCTCTGCCCCTGCAAGTGCCGCAACTTCCTGTCAGTGTGAGAATAATAAGGGAATGGAAATGTAATATGAAACTTCTTCAGCACACAGAGATAAAGAGGAGAAAGGGCTTCGTTTAGCCGCTTGTTTCTGCCTGCACGGCCTTCCCCGGCGCCCTTTCCTCACGTGACGTGTGCTGTATAGAAATGTCAATACCTACCTGTGGAGCTGATGGAGACCCATAAATCGATAAAACGAGCATAGCTGCAGATCCTTGGCCACCAAGTTGTAAAACTGGTCACTCCATAAAGTGAAGTGTGTGATTAGAGAAAACCAGCCTGGCAGCATCAGAGTGGAGCCGCCGTCTTCCTTCGGTGCTCGCACCGGCTCGGTCCGAGCGTTCGGGCGAGCCGGCCGCGACTGTGGCCCAGAACCCCGCGGGGAGCTCGCAGGGATGAGAGCGAGAACTCTCATTGTCTCCTCTGGTGTCTTTCTAACGACAAGATCCGAGTGTGGCTCGACAGAAGATGCTCTGTAAGTAGCGGCGCTACGGACGAGAGGTGAGATCGGCATAAAATATTAAGACGGCAGATCTCGAGCCGGCGACGGTCGGAGACAGACGGACATTTTAGGCAGAACACTCTGTGTGTGAGGCCTTCACTTCCTCTTCAGTTTGAAAGCTCCATCTTTATAATGGATGGCGGAGTCTCTGGGGAGTGTCTAGACTATGGTGGGAAATCTAAATGGTTGGGAAAGCCACTCCAATGCTCTGTAAGTAGTGTGGAGTATGGGAGAAATGCAACTCAGAGAGGTGACAGGAAGAAGGGAAAAGCATCCCGAACAACACCGTGTTTACCTGCATTGCACTTCCCTTGGTAACGGGCGTAGATTCCTAGACAGGAGATGCAGACTTTACGTAATGCTTAAATGCCCTCTGATTCTTTTCTCCCCAACCCTAAGTGGCCTTAGCTCCGGACCGCGATGCTCTCTGTCTGCACCTACACCCACCCCCACCCGCTCTCTTTTTCTTTTTTGCCTCCGAACTCGTTCTTTTCCTGCTTCTCTCCCCCCTCAGTTATTTATGAGCACGACTTGAAATAGACTTCAGTATTTGATAAAAGCGTGATCCTTAATCTGAGTTGCCTGAGAAGTGCATTTCATTTTTATTTCCCATCAGAGATTGATGGAGGACTGGGGCGGTTATCCACTCTGTGATTGCTAATGTAAATCCATTGACTTCTGGTGGACATATATAAAGATATGGAAGCCTTGCATGTGCATCCCGTGCTACCAGCGGGGAGATTGCGTGCGTGCAAAGCAACGGAGATGCTGGTTTGTGCGATGTGATGGAGGGGGGTGGTGTAAGAATTATATGGCGCGTGTCTTGATTTATGAAAAGCTTCTTAAAACATCACAATATTTGCAAAGTTACTAATTGCGGTTCTTTGCCTGTGTGCCATTTCATATTTCACCGCTCACTTGTGCTTTTTCTGAAGGAGGAGGAAAAAAATAAAACGGGTGATAAATTTAAGATGACAGTTACACCATATGAATGAGGCCCCTTGTGTATCAATTCGCTCAAAGCCAGCTGCAAATCTAACTCGGGCTCCTTATGTGGCAATTACTGATGGGTAACATAACCTGCATATATCTGTTCTGTTCATTAGGCCAATGTGCTCTATAACTGGCAAATGTTCTTTAGGATCCTACAGCAAATTAGCTCATCCCCCAGGACGTCTTTTATTGGATGATCCGGCTCCAGAGGATGCCGCAAAACCACTTGAGCTCTCCGCAGCCTGCCCCGGTTGCCACAGGGTTAATATTTAAAAGCGCGAGCTCCCAGTCGTGTATTGATGATATGTTTTGAAAATTGCTGAGGCAGGCTCATTGTTACAGTGCTGTCTAGAAGATAGCCAATCCTCCCTCCTCCCCTCCCTCTCTCTCCCTCGTTCCCCTCCCCCTTTATAGCCGCCAGATGGAAAACACACTAAAGCATGTAATGTAATATAGCTTGGCACACACAGAGGTATTTCACACCAACTTCATCTGGCCTCTGATCTGCCACAACGCCACCTGAAAAAACAGTGCTTTTAAAAAATAAAAATAAAAATTTTTTCACCGAAACAAAAACGTCACCAAATCGCGAGTTCGGAGGAAAAGAGGGAAAATAAAAGGCAGAGGAGCTATCGGCAGCTAAAAGTAGAAAACAAGTGGAAAATAGGCTGCGCCTCCCAATTGCCTGTGGCATATTTTAAGGTTTTCTCTGAGAGTCTTTTTTTCCTTCAGCATCGCCTCCTTCTTCTTCTCTTCAATGAACTAAAACTGCCACAACTTCAATG